TTCTGATGCATGGTGGCCCTTGCATTTCAGTTGAGAACTGATCTCCTAGGGCAGTGGTTCTCAATCTGTGGGTCACAACCCCTTTGGGGTTCAAAAACCCTTTCACAGGGGTTGCCCGATTAATAACATTAGTAAAATGACAGTTATGAAGTAGCAACGAAAATTATTTTATGGTTGGGTGTGTCACCACCACACGAGGAACTGTATGACAGGGTCACAGCATTAGGAAGGTGGAGAACCGCTCTCCTAGTGGCTGTGACCTTCCAGATATTGACAGCCAGCCTTTCGTTCGAGGCACTTCTGAATGGATCCGAACTGTCAACTTTTGGGCTGCTGAGCCCTCAGGCACGTGTGTTTCTTCGCACCCACATCACCCGTGTACTGGTGTGGTGGGAACTGCATGTCCAGATCACTCAGTATTTCCCTATATGTTTTCATGAATGACAATATAATTCTTAAACAATTGGTCTACTTTTCCAGGAAACATTGTTGCCCATTTTTAGCCTTTTGATAAATAGAGTTGAGGTGGACGTGCGTACTGAGTCTTTGTTCCTAAGTATTTTCTTAGGAGCGCTCCGTTCAAATGTCGGTGGGACATTTTCGTGAACAGCCTTTCACTTTTTGTGGCCTCCAGTCAAGGGTCTGATGGGAAGGGTTCTGGAAGTTAGTTCTGCTTGTTGGTTCACTGTGGGCCTTAAGCCACTGGAAATCCAGCCCTCCTTCCTGCTATACTTCTTATACACATAGCACTGAGTCTTCTTGCAGAGAGCTGCTCCCACACTTGCCCAGGGAGGATGATATTTTTAAACGTTGGCTGCAGAGAAAATGAAGGGACTCTTACAATCCTTGCTGTGTTTTCCTCTGTCCTCTGTTTTCCTTCTGATTGGTGTTGGGTCTACCCACCTCGTGTCCACTTGAAGTCATTTCATAGAACTAAGAACTAAGAACTAATAACTAATAACAGTCAAGGGGGACATGAGCTCTTCCTCATAGTCTCCCAATGAAATGCTGCCTTTATGAAAAAGAGAATAACTGCGCCACATACAGGCCTGCCAGGTGAGGTGCACCCGGGGTGCTGAGATGCTGACTGAGAGGTGTGCAGAGAAAGTGTGCGTTCTCACTTAACTTTTTAAAAAACCGGTTCCCAACAAAAATATTTGTTTTCCTTATGTGATTCATTGTTAAATTTTGGGCCATGCTGTATTAAAAAGCCCCAAATAATTTATACTTACCATCTATTGTTTTCAAGCTTAAAAAAAAAAAAGCCCACCAAACTCAACTGCGGTCCTGTGGATTCAGGCTCCTAGCGACCCAAAAGGACAGAGCAGAACTTCCCTGTAGGAAGAATGTATGTGGACATGTTGTCAGGAAAGACCAGTCCCTGGAGAAGGACATCATCCGTGGTACAGTGGAGGGGCGGTGAGAGAGAAGGTGGCCCTCTGTTGGATGGACGGACACAGTGCTGTCAACAATGGGCTCACACATGAGGACAGCCGTGAGGGTGGCGCTGGACCGTGAGGTGTTCTGTTTCACATAGGATTGCGACGGGTCAGAACCGACTCGGACACCTAACAACTTCAGTCATTTGTGTTTCTTTCTTTCTTTTTTTAAAAAAGTTCCTGAGGTCACCTTGTAAAACTCTCCAGGGATTATTTGTGTTTCTTTCAAGTGTCAAATCAAAACCAAACTCTCTGCCATTAAGTCAATAGCGACCCTATAGGACTGGGTAGAACTGCCCCTGTCCTCTCACAGCGACATCTATTTTCCTCAGAGTGGCTCATGGGGTGAAATCCTTAATTACATGCTCGCTAGAGCTTCCCTTCTGGGAAATGTATAGCCATTTTGTTTAAAAAAAAAATCTTTTTTTTTTTTTTGGTTTATTCCCACATCCAAAGTTCCCTCCTCCCAATAAAATAAAAACAGAGCCACTTTCTCAGACTTCCTGTCATAGTGTCTGTTACTCTGGGTAAACTAGAGAAACAAATCCAGAGACACTCATGTGTGTAAGAGAGTTTTATATCAAAGAGTAATTGTACATTAAGAAAACATCCTTACCCAGTCCAGATCAAGTCCATAAGTCAGATATTAGCCCATATGTCCGATACCAATCTATAAATTCTTCTTTAGACGCACGCAGCAGATGCAGTGATACCAGATGCAGTGATACCAAATGCAGGAAGATTACAGGCAGGTGGGTGAAAAGCCTTGTGGATCCAGTGGCAGTGGAAGCATTTCAGCGCTGGCTGCCATCAACAGGAAGGTGAAGCAGAGAAAGAGTGCGGCCTGCCTTTCAGGAGAAAGAGCGGAAGGTCCCAGAATCCGTGTGAGAAGGCCACACCCACAGGGAGGCATCATCGGGCTGTGGCCTGACGGACAGGCTAGACTCCATCCCTCCACTCTGTTTATCAGGCTGACATGTACTGATGCCAACTCCCACAGTGGCTGCAATGCAGTGTGCACACTGTACAGAGATGACAGGAGGGCAGGGGCACACCACCTTCTTCTGCGATGTAGCAGAAGTGAAGAGGCTTTGCGCCCATCAGTCAGGTGGCCCGAATGTCAGCAAAGAGAGCTGGAAGGTATTCAGCCCTGGCCTGCTCCTGAGTGCCCTGGGCAATGGCTGCTCAGCAAACAGGAACTCACATCAGAGGAGGACCCCCCAATCACCATCACCACCATCCAGTTGTCATCCAGGGAGATGCTTTTTCACCTGTTGCTTTTCTGAGAGAGGAAAGAAGCTGCCTCCTCCGGGTGACACAAGTTGTTAAAGCAGTAAGGGTAACAACTACGTGTGAGCACCCCAGGAAGGCTTGCTTTCCCTCATCTGCCAAGGCACAGGAATCCCAAGGAAGAGAATTTTAAGGGGATAAGTTACTGACAGTCTGATTTCTCTTACAGCTCTGACTGCCTAGTCCTCCCCAGTCCCTCACACGATGGGGTGTAGAGTGGACCTTTGTGATAAAGGCTTCTCTGGCTGATTTTCTGGAGAGGATTATGGAAACTGCTGAATCTTGCTCAGCATTTCAGCTGTACGCATGTGTCCACTAACAGATGGGTGGTGGCTTTTCATGAGTGGGCTGCTCTCCCACATGCAAGGCCAGAGTTCTACCCCGAGCTAACTTGAACTCTGGGTTCAAGTTAATCTAATTTTAATAAATTATTTCTCCTTATTCTTTTTGAATAATATTTTTTCTCTTTTCTAATAAAAGTCATGGTCAAAGGTCATGGTTACTGAGGCCAGGCAGGTAGTCTAAAGTCTAGATCCAAGATCTCAATTCTTTTTATTAAATTAATAAATCATTTTATTGGGGTCTTTTACAGCTTTTATGACAATCAAAGCATTTTCTTTCTACTTGAGCCCTTGGTATCAGCTCCTCTTCTTTTCCTTCTCCCTCTACCACCCTCATGAACCTTTGATAAACTATATATTATTATTAATTTCATATCTTACACCATCTGCTGTCTCTCTTTACCCATGTTTCTGTTGTCTGTCCCCCGGGGCAGCGGGATGGTGGTGTTAGGTCATATGTCAAACATTGCAACCAATTCCTCCTCTCTCCCCCTTCTGCCCCGACCTTCCCCCTACCCTTATGGTATCACTACTCCCATTGTTGTACCTGTTATCTGTCCTGGAATCTGTGTTTTGAGAGCTGTTATGTGTACCTGTGTACGTGCTCCAGTCTAGCTGGGTTTGTAAGGTAGAACTGGGGTCATGGTATTGGGGGGTGCGATGGGGGAGGAGGAGGATGCATTAAAGAACTAGAGGAATGTTCTGTGTTTTATTGGTGCTATACTGCATGTACCCTGGCTGACTTGTCCCCTCCTTGTGGCCCTTTTGTGAGGGAATCCTTATTTCTAATTCAATTCAAAAGGTTTATCTTTATGTATTTCAGTGTGCTTTCATAGCTAGCCCTGTCAGACATGTGCAGAAAAAAGCATTTCTTAATTCACCATGTGCATCAGAAGGAAGCGTGTCCATCTGATACTTAAGTTTAGCTCATGTGCCAAGTATTAACTTCTTAGTTGACTAGTTATATGTTGTGTTTATTTGAAATTTCTAATGCCACCATGCAAGTGACTAACATTTTTAATTTTTGGCTTAGAAACCTGCTGATTGCTAGTGTTTCCTGCAAATAACAGACCAGGGATTTGACTCCCTAAGACACCTGGATAACCAATAATCATTGGCTACGCAATACAGATGACAGCGGTGAGGTGGTTGAGCACAAGTCAGGGATTGTCACTCTTTGAGATGACTCCGTATTGCCATTCCTATGCCGCCTACTTCAGTGCACAGGACCTTGCCCTGGACCCCATGTAAACGTGTCTCCGGGAGTTATAGGGAACTTGTTACATCAAAGACTTAAAAAAACTATGTGCTCACAAGAACCACGGTCCTAGTGGCTGATATAAAAGAATCTTTACTTGGAAATCCTCACCAAAGCACAGTTGATATGGCTGAATTGTTGGAGATGGGTGTTCTACCTTGTGGTTGTAATGGAGAAGAGACTGTTCCTCTGGGTCTAAGTCCATTTTTCGTCACCTTGCGAACTTGTGCTGGTTGACAGACATCAATGTGACTGAAATCTTTCTGGGAGAGACTTGATCTCCTTCCCTTGGTTCAGGTATTATTCTAGTCACGCCCTCCTTGACTAGCTGCTTTTGTCGCCTGCCTGCGCTGCCTGTCAGATTTCCGCACTGTGATGCCTCCGTGTGAAGGGAGGACCTCTTCCCGTCAGAGGTGCTCCTTGCCCTCTGGGTGTGGCTCCCTGTGCTCTGCAAAGCACGGTTTCTTTACTCTTTCCCATTGACCGAGTGTGTATGCACAGCCTGCCACCTCCGTTCAGAAGAGAGTGGCTTTAACACTCAGTGGGTGCTTCAACGTGAAGAACGTGGCCCCCAAGCACACGTCGAGCATCGATGATTCATGTCGGTCCCATTGAAGGGTTTCCTTGCAGCTATTCAAATGCTTAACACAGCCCAACCCCCTTGTGTCTCAGTGCACCTGCAGGAAAGACATGGTGAAGATTTCCATGGACATCTTCGTGAAGAAGTTTCAGCCAGGCAGATATCAGCTTTGGAAGCAAGGCAAAGACAGCTACACCATCAATCACGCGAAGCCCACTCCAGAAACCACACCGGAAGTCTCGGCGTGGTTCCAGAGGAAGAAGAAAGCCAGGAAAGCTTCAAGGAGGTAGGGACCCCTCCCCAGCCCACCCACCAACTTCACACTGCCCTCACTCAGATGAGAGCCAGCGTCGAGGGGTAGTTCCCGAAGGCCACTCACTGGCTTGTTCATTCTCTGCTTACTAAAAGTTTTCTACCAAAAAAAAAAATATTTTTTTTCTACCATTGAGGCGGGTAGTGAAATGAAAAGCCTTAGAATGGAATTGGATATTGTGTTTGAGAGTGGACTATTTCTGAAGTTGTTATACACGGCAAATAATTAAAGAGGAAATAATCACAATGGTCCTCACTGTAGAAATGACCAGGGGGTTTTAAATGCACAGAAAATTAACCTCCTTTCTTGTTTAATTCCCCTGGCCAGGACTCCCAAAGGGTAGGCTCTTTGGGGTTCATACCTCTGCAGAGAATTTGCTTTCCAACCACAGAGGGACTTGGAATTTCCCAAGATTCCCCCACAGGGTAATTCCTCTACATTCACAACCCAGAAACTGTAAGAAATGCCGAGATTTTTTGTAAAGGCTAGATTCTGATGCAGTATTTCTGTGGTAGAAGTGCAAATGCTCAGCAGTTTCAAACTGGTGAGAAGCTGCCCGTTTGGTGCCAACTTTTATGATTTCAACAATGCTGGGGAATTCTACAGATGGCAAGGAAACAAACTTGATACTTGGTCTTGTAACATAAGCTGTTCAGTCAGATTCAATGTCTTTTCTTTGTGCATGCTACCTAGGTCACCACATTTTATCTTTATTTTTCAACATAGGCTTCTTTTAATGTTGCTATCAACTTTTCACAATGACCCCACATGCCCTGAGGAGCTTCTGTTTCAGTTTTTGTTGACGTTTGATATTCGTATCAATTGGGATGATTATCTTTGCACACTGGTGAAAAACATGTTGGTTCCACCCCCTTCAGTCAGTGAGAATGGCGTTTGCACCCGTGCCTGTGTTGCCCCCCACAGCTGAGGCAGCTCTGAACCAACCCCCACCCCCACCCCTGAGGCTCTCTCTGCTTCATAGCTTCCAGTGCGCCAGGGCTGAGCCTAAGAAACAGAAGACTGAGGAAGAAGAGGATGAAGAGGAGGAAGAGGAGGACGAAGAGGAGGACGAGGAGGCGCTGGCGGCCGCAGCGGTGTTGATGGCGGCAGCAGCAGAGGCCGCTAAATCCAAGGTCCCCGTGCCCCGCCCAGCCAGAGGCGAGCCCAAGGTCAACGAGAAGCCAAAGGCAGCCGCCAAGTCCGGTAGCAGCAAGGAAGGAGTCACTCCTCAGGTGGAGAAGGTTGCCGACAGGGCCCAGCAGGCCCCGGTGCTCTCACCTCCCTTAGGCGGCTCAGGTGAGAAGGGCAGACGATGCTTCTCAAACAAGCCGTTGATGACCCCGGGGCCTTCAGTTATCGTTAGCTTAGCTAGAATGGCACTGAAAGCCAGGCGCAGGCGGGAGGCCAAGGGCAGGTTCCACACCATGGAATAGAATTAGTGGCAGCCACCCCCGAGTGGGGGTGGGATTCTGGAATGAAAGGGGGGCATTTTTTTAAAGTACTGCCAAATTCACATCAACCCCAAACCAAATTTATCAAGTTGATTCTGACTTACAGCACCCCTCCAGGACAGAGTAGAAATGGCCCTGTGAATTTCTGAGTCTGAAACTCTCTATGGGAGTAGAGAGCCTCATCTTTCCCCCTCAGAGTGGCTGGTGGTTTTGAACTTGGGTTTGCAGCCCAACTTAACCACTATGCCACCAGCCTCCGGCTCCCCGGTGCCCCCCACCTGAATTTACAACAGACAGGACAGTTTTGGGAAGTCTCTCGTATTCACTTGGCACAGCAAAACCCAATTCGAGATAATCCAATGCAAATTCTTAGCCACCAGCTTAATTTTTAGACGAAAACAACGGATTAAGGGACTTTTGTTCTCTTCTTATCCAGGGCATCAACAAATTCTTCAGTCATGGGGCTGTACCCAAATCCGACCACTCTAATGCTTCTACCCCTGTTTAAAGATTTTCATCCCTGCCTCCTCTCTCTGCATTATCGCTCAGGTTACCTCTGTCCTGTCGTCCAGCATCTATTCCAGTGCCCCAGTCCAGGGTTTCTGAGACCGTAAATCTTGATGGGAGTGGTTGGTCTCATCTTACACTCAGTTTGTGACTGGTGGGTTTGAATCACCAACCTTGTGATAAGCAACCCAACCCCCACCCACAGCTTCTCCAGAGCTCGTGCAGGAGTCATACTGATCCTTTAAAAAGTTCCATTTGCTTTTCTCCCTGCTTTCTTACTCTTATTCCATTCCCCGCCCACTGAAAAGATGAAATCTTGATTCTGACCTTAGACTTACTTGAGAGAAAGAAAGAGTATGAGTAAGAATTGCCTTACCATGGTTAGTACCATGGTAAGATGTGGCTCATGTACTATTAACCTACCTAGGCAAGACCTTGAACAGAGACAGGAGGCTGGACAGAAAAGAGGCCTTGTACTAGCAGGATGGAGAAGACAGGGCAAGGAGGACCAGAATGCAGAGCAGGCCACCAACCAATCCAAGGCTATCAAGTCAATTCTAACTTGTAGCCGTCTATACTTGTTACTGCAGCCACTCGGCCTTCACGCATCTTTTGGACCATCAGCAGCAGTTTCTCTGGCATTGTGTTGGGGTACAATCCCTAGTTATAGAAGGAGTCCCCATGGCCATGCCCTTGGACAGTGGCAGCAAGATCCCTGGTTCCTGGCAGCACTCTGTAGAGAGCGGCCCCCCAAGTCCAAGGTCTCCCCTTCCCACCCTCGAAGCCCGCCTGATGCGCTTGTGAATTTTTCTTCCTTTTGCTGGTGGACAGACGTGTAAAGGGAGGATGGGAGATGGGCAGCCCGTTGGGAGTAGCTTAAACATTTCCCTCGGGAAGAATTCAATGGACGATGTAATAATGGTCTCTCATTGGTCCTAGGACACAGCGGCTCACGCAGATCGGTCAGCAGGGCAGTGAAACGGGACAAGGGTAAGGCCTGTGCCCGAGTCCACCCTGCCAAGCCCAAGGAGACCCAGAAGGCCCCCACAGCACCCAGTGGCCCGGTGAAGGCCACGGAGGCAGATCCTGCCCAGGGGTCATGGCCAGGGTCGCCCGAGTCCTTGTCCTCTTGCTCCGAGACAAATGGGCCGTGGACAGAGGGCGAGGAGAGCGACCAGGAGAGCCGACCGAGCAGCCTGGAGCCCGGGGAAGTCCCAGCTGTGTCCAAAAGAGAGAAGCAAGGCTTCAAAGCCCCCCACGTACGTGGCAGCATGTGTCCTTACTGAATCTACTGTGTGTTGAGAGAGCGCACTTCTGAGAGTGGCTGGCTGTACACAGAACAGGCGCTCCAGGGCAGGAAAAAAGCATCCAGTATCTCAGATGGCAGGGGGCAAGCCCCCGAGAACGCTTGATGCCAGGGGCAGAATTCCAAGAGCCTGGGACTCCTGGCCAACCTTTTTAGCCTTTAAAAAGTTTTTAAGCTGTGATGCTTTATTTTGAGATGGTTGTAAATGCAGACAGTGCCCACACCTCCTGTGTCCAGCTCCCTACCGCTGGCAGCCATGGTTACAGCCTGGAACAGGTGGCAACAGTCCACTGTAGTGGCCTCATCTCCTACAGGGTGAACCTATGGGGAAGGACTCACCTGAAGGTCTCTGACCCCTGATGATACCTTTGGGTCTTGACTAGGGACCCAGTAGGTCCCATCTGATCACAGACCTGAGTCCTAGTTCCAGGCTTACCTTCCTGGGTACCTGGCCTCTTCCTCGAAAACAGGGAAATGGAAGAGATGGTTGCCCTTGAGAATATATATCTATACACAGCAAAGTATACCTCAGTCCCACGTGTTCTCTGCGTACAACGCAGTGTAATATTAGTAGGACTTTGATTGCTGGCCTCCAGTTATACAGCCCTTCCCACCCATGTTTCCCGAATAGCTCTCCCGATGACCCCAAACTCACAGCCCCCCAAGTTTCCCAGCAGAACTTTTGGGTCACTTTTGTCCCTTTGTTCCAATCCAGACAGCTTGTGGGAAAACCCAATGCCCGAGGCAGCCCTTCCTAACTCGTGAAGCTAAACTGTTGCCTGATTTTTAAACTACGTTTCTGTGGATATTTTTGATATAAGGCTTAAAGCTCACCTTTCAGGTTTAAAGCAGTAGTTTAAAGCAGTGGTTTGAGGTATTCGTCCAGCTTCCATGGCTCCAGCAATTTAGGGGGTCATGAGAGTATAAAATTCTGTTCTGCACCACCCCCCCAACCCTTTAAACTAGGTTCTTAAAAAAACAAAAAACAATCTTTGATCAAAAATGTTCCACATTGGTCAGTGGACACCTCTACATTCTTTAATCCCCACCCCCTTCCACTGTGGCCAACTTCTTTCTGACTTTGCAAGTGGCCTCTCTGTTCGTGTCCTTGCGCGATGTTCATATGCACGTTTTTGGCATAAACTGCCCGTGTAAACAGGCGTGTGAGTGGGCCAGACATTCAGGGATGGTGTGTGGTGATACCAATCTCCCGTGACCCTTCTTGACCTGTGCAGACTTGTGTGGGGGATTGTAGGGAGAGGCACATCTGTGTGGGGAGCTCATACTGTGGGCTTCCCAACTCTGCTATCCCCTGCTCATTCATTTCCCCACACCTGCTGCAGCCCCAAACAGCAATGGGGATCACATAAGGACAGCAATTTCGGATACTGGATTTTTAAGCTAACATCAAGGTATTTCTTGAATCGGCTCCACCATGTCTCTTACACTGAACTCTGCAATGCTTAATCAGAAAACATCCAAGAAAGCAGAGGAGCAC